CATATGCTCAAAGCTCACTTATGTCCATGATGTAGATGGTATATCCTACAACATATGGAGCACTGGTTGGTATCATCATCGTTAGCGAATCTGCATCAAAATTTGGCGTTCCATCTTGCATAACTGGTGGTTGGAGTAGATATGAGCGGATCATGCATTCGAGATGTAAAACTTACACGACATCACGGATACCAATAGAATTATCAATCATAGGATTCCACTCTCAGCTATGATTTCAGTGCCAAAAGCTCCTTAAGCCCACATTGCCCAGAACCAATGTCTCGAATATTCGGCATCTTCAAGGTTGGAAGAGTTCATGCCCGTCCTCTGCGGCAACCAAACCCAGCCATTGCCCTTTCCCCTTCACCCTCCAACTAACTCCACCGTCCTTCCCAACCCACTGGCTCAGTGCACCCACAACAGCAGCTGCATCTTCCCTTGGAACCCTTATCCACACGTCTCTGCCCTCATGTTTGAGAAAGTCAATCGGGATAGCTGTCCCCGTGATTCCGAGAAACTGACTGAGAGCAGAGGTGAGGTGCGCTCGAGCTGTGAGAATGTCTATAGGAGGCGAGTTGGAAATTGGAAGTGGGTTGCTGGAGGACAGGAGGACGAGGTGGAGGTATGTGAATGGTGGATTGCGGACGGTAATCCTTCCTTTTGGCGGTAGTGGTTCGGCCTCTAAGACAGATGCCATTGCTGAGTACGAATGGTGAGGATGGCATTGAGTTTGGTGAGGGAGATCGACGAAATGCATTAGCGCCGGATGCCTAGCGTGCTCGGCAGCGGCTGCCCTTTCTATCCTCACGTTGAGTTGATTTGTTTTCAACAACCAAACCGACCCAACTTCTGGGACTGGCTCTCCACCTCTTGAACTGCTCAGTAGGAGAACAGAGAATTGCGGCAATATCATGGCATTGACTTTCCATTCAAACGCGCTCGCCAAGCGTTCCTTCGACACCTCGCTCATGCCCCCACCGCCACCTCCAAAGCGAATAAAACGCCCCGCAAAGGTTCTTGACGAGGACGATTACACAGAGGCTCTATCACACATCATAGCTCGAGATTTCTTTCCTGGATTGTTGGAGACAGAGTCGAAGCAAGACTATCTCAATGCGCTGGACTCGCAAGATCACGAATGGATTGCGGCTGCGGGGCGGAAGCTCACTGAGGTTATGACACCTGGACCAGATGGGAGAAGACTGCGGGGAAGAAGAGGCACGACCATGACACCGGCGTCTGGACTTTACGGGAGGGGTGGTGAGACGCCGAAAGCATGGCAAGGTGAGACACCTATGTCAATAGTGTCCACGGCCGAAAGCACCGCCAGCACTCAATCCAACGGACCAGAGGTCGACACGAACATGAGTCTCAGCGCATTTCAGCAGAGATATACAAGTGAAGACAATGAAAGTTTTTACAAACTCCTGGACAAACAGAATCTCAAGAGAGCAGAAAAGTATGCCTGGATGTGGGCTGGCAACAAAATCCCTGCTGCCCGCCAGATCGCCCACCGGAAACGAGAGCGGCTCCTTGCTGCCAACAAAGCTTCAGAAGAATCTGAGGACGGGAAGGAGCTTGCTACTATCGAACCCCGAGACACACGGAAAGCCATGCCTGACTCCTGGCCATCTCGTCCCGACAACCCGTTCATGTTCGCTCCTGGATCTATTGAAGACACAACCCAGACAGTCACCCAGAAGAACGAAGAAACCTCGAGGGCTCCCCCAAGAACTGTAGTCTACGACAATACCCGTATTCCCCCTCCAATTACCACAGAATCCTCACATGATATCCCTCCATCACCGTCCCTCTCCGCAGTCCAGGACGCCATAGCAGGTCGCCCTCGCCCCACCGCCTCTGAGGCATCATTTAACGGCGCGTCTACGCCTCGTGTTAACGGCTACGCATTTGTCGACTCCGAGTCAGAGCCGCCCCCATCATTCGACAGCCCCTCTCCCCTCCTCCTTGGCAGTGGAGATAGCAACCCCAATCCGTTTAAGCTCCACGAAAACAGCAAGCGAGAAGCACTGCATCATCGCATGGTAGACAAAGTGGCAAAAGGAAAGCGAGCTGCAATTGGGAAAAGAGAAGGAGAGTTGAAGACGCCAGTACCACGGTTTACAAGCAGTCCGCGGATCAAAAAAAGTGGGATGACTCCTGCGGCGCAAAGGTTGATCACTAAGATTGGAGGCATAGGCGCAACGCCGCGGGAGGGGAAGACACCACGGATGAGTGGGTTGAGGGAAGGGTGGACGCCGAAGACTGCAGGGAAGGGAGAGTAACCGAGATCGCAGATATTTTGAAAGCATGATACCCCATTTCATCTAAATCCGATTTTAACCATTTTTCAATACCTGTCTCGGCCAAATCTCCGATCCGCCTTGCCATCGGGCCTAGTCGATACCCCAATCCAAGATACGTCTGACGGTACTAGGGGAGCTCGTCTTTACCATATACATGGTTTGTTCTCCGTCGTAAGCTTAAGTCTATCTGATTCCGAACCCCAAGGGCAGGATCCATGCCAAACATTCCCAGCACACATGGCAGGAAAAGGTCAGTTGAAAACCCCAAAGCTTTGTGAATCGCCGAATCCTCCAGAGGGTCGGTCTCGCAATCCTGCATCAATCTTAGGACGCAGTGGCCGCTGGAGATGCTTGTCCTGTGCCTCGATATCTGGTGCTGTGAAGAGCAACATCAGTTCGACGATAAGTTCAGCCGTCTTGACTGGGTGGATATAAACCACACACCTGTCCCACTAATACTCTGCTCTCGATGACAAGGCAGTAAGTCTCAATCTTGATATGAATTGAACTTTTGATTGTCCATTCAATACCAGAGAATCATTCTTCCTGCATTTTCATGAGAATCTCTACTACCTCCTCCACCCCTTTGATGACCTTCTGCACTTCCACCACACTCATCTTCTTCAGAACATAGTTCGCAACATCCCTGCTCTCCCTACTCTCTGGTCTACCAATCCCAACTCCAATCCGCGAAAATGCCATGCCTCCCAGGCTGCTTACACAACTCTTGAGCCCGTTATGCCCCCTCGCGCTCCCACCAACCTTGAGCTTTATTTTCCCCAGCGGACTCTCTAGTTCATCGTGTACAACGACCAACTTCGCCCTTGTGCGATCTTCGTTTGGCAGGTCTCGCAGGAAGGTCTTCCAGGCAGTAGCAACGGCTGGGCCGCTGACGTTCATCAGAGTGGGTGATTGCCAGAGGGTGATATCATTGCCACTAGAGGAAAGACCGTTGCCGTGAGGACGGCTTTTGGCGAAGGGCGGGTAGGAGAGATACTGCTGGAGGGAGGATAGTAGTGTGTGGCCAGCGGAGTGGAGGGTATTTTTGTATAGTGGGGGTGGATTGCCGAGCGAGGCGATCAGGAGGGGGCGACGGAGCATGCGTTGTGGGTCAGCTACACTTGGAGGGTTTGGAATAGGTGAGGGTGTTGAGGGAGGCGAGGATGCTTTTGTCCACTTGTTGGACTTTGTCATCCTCTCGGCTCTGGTGGGCTCAATATTCAGTCTCGGCGACTTTTTTAAGCGCGATAGGCGCCCTGGGTAAATTCAGGAGCAAGCAATAATGCCAAATCAATTGACGGAATTGTATTTGTACTACAAACCAGCAATGAAGCAGTGTCTCCTTCTTATGTTTGCGAAGTGCTTTCGGAACAAAGGTGGACTTGCTCAGAATCCCTTTGTTTACTCTGCGGTCAGTTTCTACATCCATCCCTTGTCTTCAAAAAGCAAGCCGTCACAAAGCGTTCTCGTCCCTTAGCTTTGATCTGTCGATCGTGGCTCCAAAGGCCATGGACATGAAGACCTGATGTGTTCTAATCAAATTACGATGAGAAATACTTCCTCGCCAACCTCAAGACCCTCCCAGCCTGTAGGCAGTCTCTATCTCTATCCTTCGAGCCGTCAAACCTCTCTTTGAAACTTGATGGAGCTTCCTAAGGCCAAGGGGAACATAATCTGCGGAATCAGCCGGGACCATGTTGCAGTGTACACGGAATTGGGGCTTCGGCTCCAGCACTCGGCTTGAAGACAGAAAGTAATGTTGAGGACTACAAATTACGAACCACCATCGCGGCGATCTGAAAGCATGTCAGTGGGGAGATTTCTCAACCTTCGGTGCTCGTATCCTTGTATCGCAGACTGTTGCCTACTTACGCCTCATGCGTGGCCCCAGCCTTCGTATAAGCACTCACGGTTCGCCCGTGTGATTCGCAGGGGCAAATCTGTTCAAGACTACTCCAGTAGGACTTTATACCTGTCGCCGCTAGCTAATAAGCTGGGAAACAGAGACAAATAGCGTGTTACCTACCGAATTGATCCGCGTAGAGACGTATTTCTCAGGTATCTTCTCCATCAACACCTCAACTTCTATCTATTCAGCTACTTCCACTACTTTCACTATCTCAATCGCATCACCCTTCATTCAATAAGTCTATTCCTATAGATATCGAGTCTATCTACTGTATGGACTATAACGAAGAGGCTCTACTTAATCCTGAGTCAGATGTAGAGAGCGAGGATAATAAATAGTGGTGGTAGAAGCATGGCAACTGGAGGGGGTACTTGATTGGCTATATAGATGACTAAGTAATATATAGGTACCTTATATGACCAAACCCCCAGTGGTTTCAAAATAGTCATTTGGAACCATACTTTATATGCGATACTACCTTATAATGAAATACTACATTATGAGTCAATTAATTCGGTAAAGCTGGTACTACTTACAAGCAGCCTCCATATGCATGGCGCGGAACACAACATTTACGGATACTTGTAGATGCGGCCCGCGCCGTCTGACATTCGGAAAATTCCACAACCTACTTACCTTGGCTACCTTACCTTTCTCATTCTTTGCGGAGCCAACACTCTGTCCTTTGTTTGCCCGTACGACCTTCTCTCTTTGCTTTCTGCTCTTGTCTTGCAGTGTGTAATGATCGTTCTGTGTGGTCCTACCTGAATGGCAGTGCTACTGCGATGGCATCCAGTTACGAGCCCAGCGACGAAGATATCCAAGGCTTCGTCGCTGTCACTAGTGCTCACCCCAGCAGAGCCATACAATATCTAAAGGTTCGACTTCAGGAAACTTTTCGAGCCATTGTCAAGCTGATGCGGCCATAGGCTCACAACAAAGATCTCGCAAGGGCCATCAATGCCTACTTTGACGACCCTAGTGCTGTTTTTGATCAGGTAAGCTCTCCTCCTTGCATGCGCCAAGTCTGGTTGGCTTACCAAAAATCAGCAGAGCCAGGTCTTCTATGATGAAAGTCAATTTCATACAGATAAGACGGAGGGCCCCCAAAACCAGGGCCAACCTTGTAAGCCTCCTTAGTCACACATAATGCATGCAAATCATTGGGCATCTATTTCAGATGTGTAACAACCAAGCTGACTTGTGCCCGAAAGCTCTTACAGTCCATCCTCCCGATACGCTCAAGCCCAATGTCTTCAGTGATACCGCACCCTCAAGACCGCCTTCGAGAGTAAGCACACGGGGTAATGACACTGGTTAGAACATTTGTTTCAAATTGTTTCGCGAGAAGGCTGGCTGACCAGTTCGACCCAGGGGCGTCTCAGAATATGAATTTTGACGAGCCGGAAGATGAGGAGTTGAACCGGGCAATGGCGATATCGATGAGCGAGAGTCAAACTCTTCCTGGCCAAGAGACAGGGACGATTGATTATGGCAAGCAGACGTTTGGTCCTGCCAATCGAGAACACTACGAGGCTGATAAGTGGGCGATGACCTACCCTGCAGCTCAAACTCAAGAGATACTGCTCAATCCCGAGCCTCATGACCGTAAGCGGCAGCCAAACACCCCAGCCTTCTTCAAGACACCTTCGACGGGTCACCGTCTATCAGCTCTCATCAAGATACTTCACACAATACCAATTGCAAGAGAGGCTCTGCTCAACAGAACTCGGACGCTGCAGGACTACGGTCACGAGAAAGATTGGTGGGATGGGACTCCGGTGAAAGTGCTGAGGATCGTCAATATGGATGGTGATGGGGGAAATACCAACGAGGATGACGTTATCCATGAAGCCCAACGCCTCATGGCTTTCCTTGACAAAACCGATAGAGCTTATGGCAGCACCAACGCCTTGGCAGGGTTGGAAAGTGTCGGGCTGCAAGACGATGGGAAGGCCTCGAATTTTATGAGCATATGGCAAGCGGCCACAGCTCGCTCTGGATCACCGTTGGCCAATATTTTTGAGTCTGTTGGGACCAAGCTGGATCCCAACAATCCAGAAGATGCGCGCTCAGAGCATGTCCCTTATCTTACTGTCAGCGTCGATAATGAGACCTCAGGCAAGGGGCTGACGCTGTATGAGGCTTTGGACCACATATTGTGGGTAGACGCTAGAGAAGACCACGAGGTCTATCTTGAGAAAGTTGGAGAAGTTTTTATACTGGAGATTAACAATCAGGTCGAGAATGTTTCTGGACTCGGCATTGAGATCCCACCCATCTGGTATGCTGATCGGTACCTGCCGTTACACACACAACAAGCGAAAGATATGCTGGCTCGTAAGGCTGCCGTGACGACCCAACTCCAGAACGAGGAGAAGCTCCAAACGGGAATCTCAAGATTCCAAAAGCCCGGGAGTGGCGCACAAATGGACGTTGCCAAACTACTTGCAAAAGCAGCTGCATATTTCGAGCGGAAGAAGGCGTACCAAGATGCCGCCAAGGAACCATCGTTGACACAGCAGCGTTCTCAAGAAGGTCTTGAGCAGAGCCAGGCTCATACTGACCCAGTATCCAAAGAGCTCAAGGCGTTGACGGCTCGTATATCGGACAGGTTGAAGAGTATGTAAAGCTCGGTGATCACGACTTGTCTGCTGACTAATGTTGATTAGCTTACGAAGAAGGCCGAGATCGTGCTCAAGAAAAGCTGAAAGAGATTTCGCAACTGTACACGATGGCCTCCAATGATCCAAAGCAGCCTCCTCATGAGAAGTACACACTTCGAGGAGTCTCGACAGGTGCAAACATAGTTTACGTTCTCGAAAGGACGAGGCCAGATGAAGAAGATGATATGCTCAGCACAGAAGCCAAAGACTGGCAGTGGTGGAAGATTCAGTATTTGAGCACGGAGACGAAGCCAGTGGTACCCAAGGCAAGTTACCTTCCATCATGGTCAAGGTCCCGATGTCCACGCCGGAAGACAATAGACTCGTGAGCTTAGCTGCTACTCCACGGACCCAATGCTGACTTGATGGTCTGCAGAAGGTGACCGAAGCCAATGTTCTTAAGGCTGCGAGTACCGACTCCCAGAGTGCTCTCTTAGTGTACGCCAATGACAAGGCAATCTCTTATGATTCTGGGGATCTGCCGTCCCCGCTCTATGTATGTCTATGCTAATTCCAACCGTCTCTTCACAAACTGACTGTGCCAGAACTTCGTCCGGGCAGACAATCTCAGCTTCAGCGCCGAGCTGGATGGGTTGGATCCACCGGCGCCTGCCACGCCAACAAAAAGAAAGGCCGACGATGGTGAACTTGACATGAACAATCATCGATCTCCTCCGTATGATAGGACCTACGATGCGATCTCGAATGACAACCCTGATCCCAATCCACCTGGCTATGATAGTAGTCCGTCCCCTCCACATATGCCTATCTACCCACGCATCAGTCCTCGCAAATCTGGCGTGACTGGAAGTTATGATGATGTGATTCCAACAAGTCTCAGAGCCACTGGACCAACGATCGACCCTACCTCTATGGCGCTTGACCCGGATGGGACAAATGACTACGGCCAAGAGATGAAAGAACGCGGAGGCCAGAACGGCCTACTACACCGGCAAAAGAAGGTCAAAGAAAAGCAAGAATACTCGCTTGGGAGCTATATACCCGAGATTACTATGGAGGACGACGAAGAAGATGAAGATCAGAGAGGCGGTAGGGACAGATAAGCGCGCGAGCATTTGATTTTGTTGCTGAGATACCCCGTCCATAAGCGGACTGTAAGCGTGGAGGAATTGCATTCCTTTGGAGCATCTTTGGAGCATCTTTATCACTAGTGTACACTATCAGCGTCCACTAGGCTTCTGAAAACCTGGCTTTGAGTACTTGACTGATGTTGGCTCCAAGAAGCTGAAAGACATGCATCCCGAATCCCGAGTAGTATGTATTTATAGTATACTGTACTGTACGGCAAGGTATCCAGGAAAGCCGACTGCTGCCGGCAATTGGTCAGCCTTACACTAATGGAATAAGCTGTGGGTTTTGCGTCACTTTAAACTTATTTACTCTACCACCATAGAGTCGCAATTATCATACACACGACCGCTGCAGGATATATCTCCTAACCACGTTGATAAGGTGCATCCGCTAGTGGAAGGCTGGTGAGGCAATTCGAAGAAGAGACGGGAGGCCTTGGGAGCTGGGACGAGACAGCCAAGTACAGGTACAACGACTGACTGCACATGAGCATGAGCATGCGGTCAGCAGCAGTGCCGCAGACGGTCCTCTCTACAAGTGTTATTCAGGAGCCGTTTCGGCCAGATTACCTCGGTGCGGCAGCCAGAGACGAGAAAACACAGCCTTTTTGCGGTAATAAAGAAGGATGGGGCCCAATTAGCCCCTTCCGGTACGACTTTACACCCTGCTTCCTCGACGTGTGGATCAGTGTTGTGGCGGCATTTGGCATCATATTTGGCGCAACTGCCATCTGGTGGCTCCTGAAGAAAAGAAGTCCGTCACCCGTCACTCGGAACTGGCATTTCTACACCAAACTCGCAGTCCTCGCTGCTTTGCTCGTCACCACCGCACTTCAAGCATGCCTACAGATCAATGCGCTTCCTGGGGTATGGATCGGCGACTTTCGCTTCTGGACCTCAATCATCACGTTGGTCTCGCTGGCAATCATTGGCGGCATTCAATACATTGAGCACTGGCGGAGTCGGCAGCCAAATGGCATAGTGCTATTCTACTGGCTGTTCCTGCTGATAGCTTTCGGTGTGAAGCTTCGGTCGCTCATCTCACAGCAAGCGTTCCGAACCCGGCTACCATACTTTGTCACATTCTGTGTCAGCTTTGGGCTTGCTGTGTTGGAATTCGCTCTGGAGTACCTGGTTCCGAAGAAACAGTCCGCATACGATGCGCTGGGTGACGAAGACGAATGTCCAATTGAATATGCAGATATTTTCAGTATCCTTACATTCAGCTGGATGACCCCAATGATGAAATATGGGTATAAGGAGTACCTCACGCAGGATGACCTATGGAATCTTAGAAGGAGGGATACTACAAAAGTGACTGGGGATATATTGGAGCAGACATGGGCTGATGAGCTTGAAAAGAAACGCCCGTCTTTGTGGATAGCTCTATTCCGGGGTTTTGGTGGGCCCTACTTCTGGGGCTCCGTCATCAAAACTTTTAGTGATACTTTATCATTCGTACAGCCACAATTGCTGAGGCTCCTGATTTCTTTCGTTGACTCCTATCGGGGTGGCAATCCTCATCCTCAGCCTGCGATCAGAGGAGCGGCGATCTCGCTTGCTATGTTTGCCGTGTCAGTAGCACAAACAGCTTTGCTCCACCAGTATTTCCAGCGTGCTTTTGAAACAGGCATGAGGGTTAAGTCGTCATTGACTTCCATGATATACGCCAAGTCAATGCGATTATCGAACGAAGGCCGGGCCTCAAAGTCTACAGGAGACATTGTTAACTACATGGCTGTTGACACGCAACGACTACAGGACCTTACGCAGTATGGCCAGATGCTATGGTCCGCACCATTTCAGATTGTTTTGTGTATGCTGTCATTATATCAATTGGTTGGTATTAGCATGCTAGCAGGTGTCGCTGCTATGTTACTCATGGTACCTATCAACGGGTTGATTGCCAGGATCATGAAAAATCTTCAAAAGAAACAGATGAAAAATAAGGATGCGAGGACACGGCTTGTGACGGAGATACTAAACAACATGAAAAGCATTAAATTGTTCGCCTGGTCTCAAGCATTCATGAACAAGCTCAACTTCGTCCGCAACGAGCAGGAATTGAAGACTCTCCGCAAGATTGGCGCTTCCCAAGCTTTTGCGAACTTCACTTGGTCGACGACTCCTTTCCTGGTATCGTGCTCTACTTTCACCGTCTTCGTTCTCACGAGAGACGAACCTTTGACAACGGAACTTGTCTTTCCGGCTCTAACGCTTTTCAATATGCTCGGCTTCCCTTTGGCCATCCTTCCCATGGTGATTACGTCCATCATCGAGGCCACGGTAGCAGTAGGGCGCCTTACTAGCTTCTTCACGGCAGAGGAATTGCAAGCCAATGCCGTGCAGACGAAGGATGCGGCTGCAAATAACGGGGATGAATCAGTCCGTGTCCGGGATGCTACTTTCACATGGGATCGTAATGAAGGTCGCCACTGTTTAGAGAACATCAATTTTGTCGCGCGCAAAGCGGAACTCAGCTGTATTGTAGGTCGAGTTGGAGCAGGAAAGTCGTCTTTCCTAGAAGCCATTCTCGGAGACATCTGGAAAATTCATGGCGAGGTCGTTGTACATGGTCGTACTGCATACGTGGCGCAGCAAGCATGGGTCATGAATGCAAGCTTCAAGGAGAATATTGTATTCGGCCATCGCTGGGATCCACACTTCTACGAGCGAACAATCAATGCCTGCGCTTTGACTGAAGACCTAAAGACACTGCCGGATGGAGACCAGACCGAGGTGGGAGAACGAGGAATATCTTTATCTGGGGGACAGAAAGCTCGTCTGACTCTGGCAAGAGCTGTGTACGCCCGGGCTGATGTCTACCTTTTTGACGATTGTCTTTCCGCTGTAGATCAGCATGTGGGAAGACACTTGATCGAGAACGTACTCGGATCGAAAGGTTTGTTGGCGGGGAAAACTAGAATACTAGCGACCAACTCAATTCCAGTACTTTTTGAGGCGGACTTCGTTACCCTAATTCGTGATGGCAGAATCTTAGAAAAAGGGACGTATGAACAGCTCATCGCAATGAAGGGAGAGGTTGCAAATTTGATCAGGACCGCCAATAATGAAGAAGACCAAGAGACTCCATCTCCTAGCGTGGAAGACAGCAGAGATTCCACAAGCTCAGAGAGTGAGGAATCCAACACTGTCTTTGGTACAGGCACCGGCGACTCATTGACGGAAGAGAAGGACGAAGCTCAAGAAGGCATCACTCAACTGGCCCCCATACGAGCCAACGCAGGCACTGGGCGAAGAGCGAGCAGCAATACGTTAAGACGCGCAAGCACAGCATCATTCAAGGGCCCCCGTGGCAAGGTGACCGATGAGGAAGGAGAAGCCGTCAAATCAAAGCAGAGCAAAGAGTTTTCTGAACAAGGCAAAGTGAAGTGGAACGTATATTTGGAGTATGCAAAGACCAGCAATCTGATTGCTGTGTGCATCTACCTGATCACACTCATTGGCGCACAAACGGCTCAAATTGGGGGTAGCTTATGGTTGAAGCAGTGGTCCGAGGTCAATCAGGAATACGGTGGCAATCCCCAGGTCGGCAAATACATCGGAATCTATTTTGCCTTTGGAATTGGTGGCGCTGGTCTTGTCGTGATACAGACGCTCATACTGTGGATATTTTGCTCGATAGAGGCTTCGCGTAAACTCCACGAAAGGATGGCCTACGCGATATTCAGATCCCCAATGAGTTTCTTCGAGACCACCCCTTCCGGACGGATCCTGAATCGTTTCTCCAGTGACATTTACCGAGTCGATGAGGTGCTGGCGAGAACCTTCAACATGTTGTTTGTCAACAGTGCTCGGGCCTTTTACACACTCATCCTGATTGCTGTCTCCACCCCAGTCTTCGTAGCGTTGATCATTCCTCTCGGAGCCGTCTACCTCTACATTCAGCGTTACTACTTACGTACATCAAGGGAGCTGAAACGCCTCGATAGCATTAGCAGAAGTCCGATTTATGCACATTTTCAAGAGTCTTTGGGCGGCATCACAACGATCCGTGCTTATCGCCAGCAGAGCAGGTTTGCTTTAGAGAACGAATGGCGGGTGGATGCAAATCTTCGGGCGTACTTTCCGTCCATCAATGCAAACCGGTGGCTTGCAGTTCGACTCGAGTTCATCGGTTCCTTTATCATCCTGGCGGCAGCTTCTTTTGCTATCATATCTGTTTCTACAGGCAGTGGCTTGTCAGCAGGCTTAGTGGGTCTAGCAATGTCATATGCCTTGCAGATTACCACTAGTCTGAATTGGATTGTGAGGCAGACTGTGGAGGTAGAGACGAACATAGTCTCGGTCGAACGTGTCTTGGAGTATGCTAGGCTACCGAGCGAGGCGCCTGATGTTATCTCAAAGCACAGACCCAAGATCAGCTGGCCTGGGCAAGGGGCTGTCAAGTTCAACAACTATTCGGCAAGATATCGACCAGGATTAGACCTGATCCTCAAAAACATCAACATCCATATTAAATCCCACGAGAAGATCGGCGTCGTCGGCCGTACTGGAGCGGGAAAATCCTCCCTTACCTTGGCTTTGTTCAGGATCATTGAGCCTGACGCTGGAAACATCTCGATCGATGACCTGAACACATCGACCATTGGCCTTCTCGATCTCCGAGGCAGGCTTGCTATCATTCCTCAGGATGCAGCTCTCTTCGAAGGTACTATCCGAGACAACTTGGACCCAGGTCACATTCACGATGATACGGAACTTTGGAGCGTGCTAGGTGAGTCTGCTGCCTTGTCCGATGACTTGTTCCTGCTCGCGCACTAATACGTGCAAGATCACGCACGGCTCAAAGAGCACGTCTCAAGCATGCAGGGTAGGCTCGAAGCCGGTGTGAATGAAGGAGGTGAGTCTGCAACTAACGTTATCCGATAAAGTAGAGTCTCCAGGAGTATTTTCTGACGGATCGGAGCAGGCTCGAACCTGTCAGCAGGACAGCGGCAACTGGTCTCCCTAGCCAGAGCACTGCTAACACCTACGAGCATTCTAGGTAAGTTTGATGATGTGTCAATCATGTTACGTCTACTGACAATCCTTGGCAGTGCTTGACGAGGCGACCGCAGCGGTAGACGTGGAGACAGATGCTATGCTGCAGACTACCCTGAGAAGCAATATGTTCAAGGACCGCACTATTATAACAATTGCGCATCGGATCAACACCATCATTGACTCGGATCGGATCGTCGTTTTGAACCACGGGACTGTTGCAGAATTCGATACTCCCTCGGCTTTAGTCCGTCATAGGGGACTATTTTATGAATTAGTCAAAGAAGCTGGCTTGCTCGACAGTGTTGAAGCATAAGGAATGCTTTGGCAATAAATCACATGCATCACTAGCGAAGTTTTCTGGGACTTCATATTGGCGGCACCAGGCGGGGTTTTCTCTCCACATTTGCAAGGAAGATAGGGCTACAATGTGTGTGCATGTCTCCAATGAATGAGATCTCGTTCAAATCCGGGTTTGAGGTACAACAGTACGCCTCGAGGTTCTACGGGTTCCGTCGCCGAGCCACGTACCCGTTGACCGTTGTTCCCGTTCTAAATTTGCCTTCTTTTAAATTGGTAGAAAGATGGATCGGAAGCAGGGTTCCGATGGTCCCCAAGCGCTAGCGCTCGCACTCGCTTACCTCTTTTGCCTCATGTGACCATGTCTCATGCAAAAGTCCCCTTTGGGCTCCTTTGGGGATATTCATCCTGCTGCTCGGCCGATTGGACAGAATGCATATTTACGCACTCTCAGATTTGGTCCCTCACAGAAAACGCCTCGTTGTTCTCCTTCAGCCGTGGGTCTTGCTGCTGAGCTTCGAGTTATGACTTGCATTGCCATACAGGTAAGCTCAGGTAGGTGCACGGAGAAGCTGCTTGCTTCTAAAACCATGACCATCTCTCACTTCGTCATTGGCTAATGACTCTCCGCGGATATGCTCGCATGGAAGACTGGGGTATTACCCGACCCCGCATACGGCAAAGGCCGCCAAAAAGGGCTTGCATGCCATGATGCACATTTCACTGGTCTTATTTTGAAATCCTTGTCCACAATTAACAACCATGACCATGTAAAATGAGTTTGTTGCTTGATAGCATCTCCTGTTCCTACATGACGGCCGCGGGAGCTGCAAAATTGCAGTGTTTGACGTTGACGGATGCAAGCCGTCTTCCCCTAGTGCGCCCTCAGTCAGATGTTGTTTCAAGGATCTGAGATCGCTGCGAATTGATCGAGATGCAATCTCAGCTCATCTTGCTTGCATATCAAGTGCTTTCCTCGCCCAATTTGCTTCCTCTTTATCCAAGCTCTGCTCTCTCCCCTTATTCCTACTATTGGACAAACTCTGGTAATTCCATGATTGCATTTTGCACACAAATATGTCTTTCGACCGTCAGATGTTGGGGTTGTTAAAACGCCAATGGTAATTCGTTTGCTGGGAATAACCGGCGTCCCGCAAAACATTACTATACAAATCTTTTGTGGACTCTCTGTTTTGGTTAGTCCCGCTCTACCTCTACTTTTCCGATTTACTTCCTATCTTGAGCTCTTGAACTTCTCTGCCAGCAAAACAACAGACTAGGTCTTGATGTGGAACTCTGCTGCTTCGCTACTTGTTATTCCCAACACAAACGATGCTCTCTGTCTTTCCTGGCTGGGCCTTGGGATGGTATCGCGTCGGCGAGATGCTCGCTCCATATCTCGGTCTTCGCCCGAAAATCATCATTGGACTGCACTTGTTGCTCGATGTTCCAACTAACAGATACAGTATGCTTTAGGTGCACCAACAAAACCCGAGCATATCCAGTACCGAACAAGTCCAACAAACTCTTTCGAGCCTTTAGCTCGCCAGAGAAACCGTCGAACATAAAATCGTTACAACCTTTGCTTCGATTCCTTTGCCCAAGGGACTTCACTGAACGTCGCCTGACCATTGCACTCGACATCATGGTCCAGCGAGTACTTGGGGACAGGGGTCCCTGCAGACCAGTTGTGGCACTTTCGAAGACGAACATCGACTCATTCAATGATGCTGCAAATCGGACTTCACGCCTCCCAGTCACAGAAGGTTCTTCGAATGCGTTGTCAACGGTCTGTAACCGATACTGCTCATTGATTGATCAATGCTGATGCGACAGTCTCCAGCTTCCCCTACAGGCTCTAATAGATCACTGCAACATCCACGCCTGTGAGATAACGTTCCGTCTCGACTCCGGCAAGGTGTTTCAGGCCACCACAACGCGCCCGGAACCCCAAGAAGTTCACGATGAGGAGCTCCTGACACGCCAAGTTTCTCGCTCATCCGTGTATACAGTTGAAGGTCAGCATTTCCGTATCCTCACACGGTCTGTGGTGAATGGTGAGCAATCTCACTGACACGCTCGTAGATTTTGATCAGGAAGAAACTGCTTCCGGAAGCGGACAGGCTCGCAGCCTGCCAATTGCAGATCGTCGTAGTCAGACCACGAAGAGGAAGAGGAAAGGCTCCAGCTCCCATACTCCTGCTTCACGCATAAAGCGGAGACCTGCTGAAAACCGCCGAGCCGCAATTAAATCAGGTTGCAACTCCGACTCCGTGGACGAGAACGAGAACGATGACGAGGACGCGGACGAGGACGCGGACAACGCCGAGGACGACTCCGACTCCGACTCCGAGGACGAAATCGATGAGTTGGAAGGTGCCGAAACGGAAATGGAACAGTTCAGGATAGACGAGGTATTCCTTCGCTATTACGAACCTGCCTTCCGGTCGATCAACCAGCTTGTCTGCAAGGACATTTCGAAGTTGTGGATCCGCTTTTGTCATCCAGGAAAGCAGACTACCCACCCTTATAATGGTGGGAAGTCTACCAGTGAGAAGTCTACCAGTGAGAAGTCACAGGCAGAGCATGGATACTTAGGGCACTTCACCAAACCAGATTACTGGCCCTCCGATGAAGGTTGGAAAGCGTTTACAGCGTCACCGCGTCGGCAAACAGAGCCAGCGTGTCGGCACATAGAGCCAGATCACGAGAAGAAAGCTGGTCAGTCTACTTATGAGCTTGCCCCGATGTTGGAGCTAATTTCCCATCCAGAAAGGCTTTTACTACTTGTCCACCTTCTCCGAAGTCAAAATAAAGGTTTCAAGGATGGCGTTTTCACTCTTGACAAGATGGCGAAAAGCACCAAGGGTATTCATCTGGAGTATCCAGGGCGCTGGACCACGCAATGTGTCGAACGCCTTAAGGAAATATATCGAGTGAGGGCTATGGAGATGAAATATGAGGCGGGTGAAATTGGTAAGTTTCACTAACCTGGTGGCACTCGTGGTGTGCTAATACTGCGTCAGATGGAAGTACTCTGGTGTCTGTCCGGATGCTCAGAACCCGATGTAAAATTCGCAAGGTACCAAAGTCAGCCGTCAAGGCCTCAAGACTACCCCGCGAGCAGATCAAAAAAGAGCCTCAGCCAGAGGTGATGAGCTCTACAGCATGTCATGCGCCTGTTGCAAAAATGGGCATCAATGTGCAAATCGAGGATGAAGACCTGACATCTTCGTCGTCTGAAAGGGTTGCTCCACAGGCGAGTTCCCCTAAACCTAGGTTGTGCAAAGCTCGCACAATTCAGCATGGGCTGCCTTTCTATGACTCGCCATCGCCAAAACAAAAACGCCACAACTCGGCCCAGGAAAACTGGAGTACGCAACCAGCAAACCTAACGCAAGACCCTACCGTCTTTACGCACCCAAACTTTTTTGGCTCCTGGATGCAGAGCTTCCCCAGCCAAGAATTCGTACGCCGCCAGTACGATCATGAAGCGACTGCCTCTCAGGTAGTCGCAAATCCAATGCGTCCGAACGGAGCATTTAACCGCAGCCCTCCAGCCGGGCCCGTCGCAACAAGGGTGGAACACGCCCGTCACCCAGCGTTTGCCGGGTCTTCATCAGGCCTGGTCGGAGCTTTCCCCAGAGACACCGACTACTCGAGCTGGCAGACTGACGACCCCTGGAACGCTCAAGCGGAATCTTCAATGTATTCGGCCGTCCCTGGTCCCAGCACCTCTCTTCTGCCATGTACGAATGGCTCCTTTAGCAATGGCTATAGCGGCGCAAATTTCTCCAGCGGCCTGCCATTGGACATCTGGAATGATGGGAACCAGACTGGAATGCCACCGTACCATCAAGGCGTTGACGAGGACGTACAACACTGCCTCAACCTACAGGCAGTCGGTATGCCATGGTACGAGCCCTTGAGTTTGAACACACCATCCAGTGGTAATCCAGCTCTGGCAAACCAAGTCTTGCCCACTGGTTTCCGCCCCCATACCTCGTTGGACGCCGAGCACAAGTTTGAGCCGGTCTTCCAGGATCAACAACAGCTCTGACTGTGTCATGTGAATCTTTCCCTCTCACGGTCGATTTAACCCACGCTCTTTTGACTCGGCAGGCTCGCTAGGAGTTGTCGGACCGCACTTTTACGACTATATGATTCGCGTCGCTCATTGTTCCACCAAAGATGGATTCTAATTACGATTTCATATTTATTGCTTCGCTTCTGTTCACCCTCGAGGATATTTATTTGGAATTTCGATTACCCCAGCGTCTCCATACGCCAAACGCCACGCCCTACTGTTAATACGTGACGCTGGTTCACAAAGCGACTATCTACGGATGACAACTTTTTTGGAATCACGGTACTTTGAAGATCATAGAGGGCAGTTGGGACAATGGGCTGTTGACTGGTTTTTCCTTTTTTCCTTTTCTTCTTCCTATTTTTACGAGTACCTTGCTTCATCTTGTCTTTCATTGGAATAGGTAGTGCGTGAAAAGTATTGGGTAGCTTAAAGTCACGATAAATGAAAACACGTCTCTCCTTAGGCATTCGCCCCTTTTCTCTTTTCCTCTTTCTCCCCTCTCTCTGTCGCTAGACGGCGTAAACGAGTGGGAATGCTCTGCTACCTGTCTTTCACAGTCCTGCTCCTGCTGCTTTCTAACAGCACATGCACGCACAAGTGACGCTGGATGAGGTATGAAAGGGGACGTTAGCCGGTTCTACAATTGGTATGCCGGTTCTACAATTGGTATGCGGTACTCCGTAAAGTAAGGTGTGCAGATTTCCATGCAGGGTACTATTTACATTGGGTCGGCTCTCGGCTCGGCAAGACCCACTTTCACTTACTCCTTCTCTCTCCGCGAAATTGATGAATTAGGTGTCTCGCATCATGCCCTACCACTGATTAGAGCACATGCACGATGCAGGTGATGGTGCCTTTGCTAGGTATAACCTCACATTCAGTCTGCAAAGCAACAGACCTTGCAGGGCTAGGCCATCACCTTATCAAGGAAGGAGAGGTGCATGATCATCATGCATCAGTGATCAATGGCACTGATTGATGCCATACCAAACCCAGTAATGATCACACTGAAACCGGAAAACAGAGCGGAAATGCACGCCGACAGATGCAGGTTATTGATTTGATTACCGTAGGAGTTGAGTAGTGTGCATGCTCGTCTTCCATCCATGTCAACTTGTGCAAGGGGCTTTGCGCCACCATGCTCGACCGATTCGATCCTGCGTCTACTCCCTACATAACAACCTGGGACACCTTACTCCACTCGATTGACTTTCCGATCTACCTATGTGTCTCACCGCGGCAATGGTGGTCAGTGGGGGTCACAGACCTCTTCCATTACCTATTCTGCATTCGTCTGCTTTTGAGGCTCGGAGATACCACCGTCGATTATTCGTACCTCCCAGCATCTGATGACGTGGAACACATTTCTGTACGTCTCAACGGTCGAGCACGGAAATTTGTGGCCCATCTTCGTGACAGTGTTTCCAGTTCTCCTCCCGACTTGTCCAATCACGAATAGTATATGGTATTCCCAAGCCGAAATTCTAAAGCTTTCCTCTTCTACAAAGGCCCGAGTCTGCCCAGAATTAACTTAGTCGCCTTCACATGTGCTTTTGACTTGCGCTAAATGAAAAATCCAAAGAGAGAGGTACAAGGTGGAATAACACGCCGAGAGATGCAACAGGCTTGAAATGGCTCCACACATTTTCCAATCACTGGAGAGGTTGAATACCAGGTTTTGGTGGTGACAGTAGGTTTGGCTCCAACAAGCAGCACGAGAGGTCAACAAGAACGAATCACAGCACTGCTCACCCAAGATATAGACGCGTTCGAACTGGACTTTGCATAGACATCAGTGTCTTTGGGAGCAATGTTATTGACGGCATTTTGGTACCTAGGGGAAGAGGTTGTACGTCATTTTGTACTTCTGCTCCTTGTCAATTGTGAAGAGTTGAGACGGATGTTAGGGGAAGCTGTAAAGCTGTGGGCATTTGGAGAGCCTGTCGCAGATAATTGTTCACTTCGAACGAGTCATCAACTAGTAGAGTGGGTGATGGCACATGTTGTCTGTAGAAAGGGCAAGGTTTCTATCATGAGTTGGTGAGGTTGGTGAATGGAAATGAAGGTAAAGCCTTTTAGGAGCTGCTGATCTATTTGTGATGGCTTTTCACCTCTTCATCGCCTGAGCTAGCAACGAGTAGATATGTACTTCGGTACAATGATAATCGCCTCTCCATCCACAAGCAACCATCGTCAATTGAACCAGTAATTAATGCGTACGGTTAGACTCTTTGAACAGGATTATCAGGCCTTCGGGCCGTTTAAGCTCCGTAGGTTCAGCCTTGCCAAGACATACCAAGCATTCCGCATTTGGCGGCATCAAAGCGTTCGTCTCTCCGCAACGCGAGTCAACATCGCATTCAAATCAACACTCGTCGAGTATTGCACCTTGATGTACTCTGCCGCGTGGTCACCTGCTGGACGACTGGCGCAATGTCAGCGCCTCAAGGGCCACGTTCCAGGAGTGGTAGTAGAGGACGTGGAAATGCACGGCCAGGCGTTAGATCAAGAGCAGCTGCTCATGGGGGAAGAGAAAGGCAGCCTCTTAAGGGGGCGCCTACCAATGCGACAACAGACCGCCAATCCTCCCATCATCTCAAACCACCTCCCAATCAGGATCTCCACCACAACAAGTCATGGACGAACTCGTCTTCCCTCTCCACGGCGTTCCAGAGTCATGCAGGCAGAATGTCGAACCCGTCGGGCGAGACTTGGCGCAACCCAGCCGTGGAAGATAGCCGGACCTACAAGCAGCGCATGAGCGATCTCTATCAGACGGTACGTATTCCGTCCTACAACTACTAACACGAAGACATACATAGTGACATTTGGCCTTCCGTCGTGCCCACAGCTCAAACAAAATCGAGAACAAGAACGGAAAGATGCAATCAAAGATGGCTTTCTCGCGGACCCGGACAAGCCAACTTCGCTGGCCCATGCCATCACACCAGTGGGGACTTGCCAAGATATGTGCCCTGAATATGAGCGTGTCGAGAGAATTGTACAACTCATGGTCGATGGAAGCGAGAAGGTATGGGCAAGGATAGGTAGCAGGTCACACAGGGATAATGGTGCTGATCTTTGGCATAGATATCACCGTCGTCGGATTCGGACACCATGGTGCCCTCCGAAGAGATTATGGTCAAGAGGTTTCGACGATCTGCAGCTGGCTACGACGAGCAACTTCCATCTGATATTAGACCCCCAGCTGTTCTCCAAAAGACTTTAGATTATCTCATCAACGATGTCATTGGTGGACCAGAGCCTCTTCACAAAGTGCACAAATTCGTATGGGACCGTACGCGAGGCATCCGGAACGACTTCTCCATCCAACAAGTCACAAAGGTAGATGACTTACGAATTGCTATTGATTGCTTTGAGCGCATCGCACGCTTCCACATTCTGTCCTTACACCAGCTGTCAAAATCTTCGGGCACTGGCTTCGACCATCACCAAGAACGCGAGCAGCTGAACAACACCCTGCTCTCTCTAATGTATTACTACGATGACAGCCGGCACAAGTTAAACTCGCTCAATGAAGCCGAATTCCGGGCCTACTGCATCATCTTTGAGATCCAAGACCAACGACCAGACTTGGAGGACCGCGCACAGAATTTGCCAAGACCTATACTTAAGGATCCACGGGTTCAGATCGCGCTCAAGCTGTATGCTGCGGCTGGGAATACGTCAGACGAACAAGGACCCTTACGGCCGCGTACTCAATTCCTAACCGCGCAAGCAAATACCGGAGGCTTCTGGAAGTTAGTGCAGTCGAACGCGGTTTCCTACATGATGGCATGCGTTGCAGAGATATACTTTGGGCTTGTGCGAAGAACAGCACTGCAAGCTATCTCGAAGGCGTACAGGGCAAAACGACTTGGTCAAACGAGAATGGATGACTGGACACTAGAAGATCTGGCGGAAGCTCTCGGTTTTGATGATGAGAGTGAGACGCACAAGTATTTCAGGTTCAACAACGTTGTTATACACAAGAAAGAGGATGGCACTGAGTTCATAGATGTTGGATCAGTGATGGACGATATAGGTTAGTCCTCGCACTTTACATACCTCGATCATTTGCAAACCTCTTCTAGGTGACGATGCTTGGGAGAGTCACAAATTCTCCATAAGATTGGTGGAATCAAAACGGCTCGGTCGAAACTTACCAGCCGTGATCAACGGATTAAGTGCTGCTCAAGCACAATCGCAAGGATTCATTGAAGTAGCTTCAGATGCCGATACTGCTTCTATGGCGAATAGCGAATCTCTTTTCGTTGGCGAGTCCGATGATGAAAGCACATCATCCCAGTCGAGATCTGGAAGTCCGCAGAAGATTCGGGATGTCAATGGCAAGGCTCCTCAGCTCAACGCTACAGCAACGCCTTTCGATCCGAAATCAACCGCATCCGCAGCTCCTGCCCAGTCGAACCCCTTTTCAGCCGCGGCAACTTTTGGCAAGCCTAGCAGGACGCAGATCCAGTCCAACTCGACACCTGTTTTTGATTTCAACTCCAACCCTACTAATCAAGCAGCTCATAATCCTTTCGAGAGCAAAGAACCCCCTAAATTCAAATTTCCCCCAAATGCAGACACGATCAAAGCCGGGGAGTCCAAAGGCACCCCTAGTATTTTGGGCAGCAAAGAAACCCCCAAATTCAGTTTCTTTCCCTCACAGTCGGCTCCCAAGACAGAAGGAAACAGCAACAGCTCTGTGCTTTCACCATTTGCTCCACCTGTGGAAAAGAAAACCACTTTTGGTCAACCCTCAGCCAAATTTCCTGCTACGACGACCCCAGAACCAACGAAGGCCGTCGCCGAAAAAGCACCAACCTCAAATGAAGCAGCTGTACCTCCGAAACCAAATGGTATTTTTGATCAACCAGCAGCCTCGTCAGCTTCCCCTGTCTTTTCGTTTGGAACCTCTCCATTGTTCGAATCAGCCGGAATAGAGCCAAAGGCCCACGATAGCA